CGCGTGTCCCGCCGGCACTTCCACACCTCGCCGCCGTCGTCGCTCAGCGCAAGCGCGCTGTCCGCCGCGAGCTCCTCGAGCGTGAGCGCCCCCGAGGGCACGCTGTACTCGAACGCGGACGAGTACGCGAACTTGCCGTACTTGGCGGCGCTCTGCTTGACGGGGTACGAGCACTGCTGCCCGGACGAGAGCACGAACGTGTGCCCGCCAAGGTGGGTGGCGATGTGGAGCGGCTTCGGGAGCGGCTTGGTCGTGTTGAGGAGCGCGGCGGGGTATGGCTCTTCGGGCGACGCCCAGAACGGGTGCGAGGAAGGCAGGGAGAGCGGGATGAAGGACTTGCAGCACCAGTACGGGCTGCCGGGTGAATTGTAGTTCTGTCGCCGTGCGTCAGTTGGTGCTTCCACGACCAGAATCAGGTATGCCCACTTCGGTCATGTTCAGATTGGGGTAGCAGTACCCTATGGTGAGAGTACCGTCCGAGTTGTACGCACCGGGCTGCTTTGCCCAGTATCTGATGTTGCGTAACTGAAGGCCCTTGACAACTCCCCATGTGAGCGGGGCGGGCAAATCGACGTCGGCGAACGCGAGTGCTCCCCAAAAGGAAGACATGGCGAAGCGGTATGTCAGACTTCGGCCGAATGGGATCGCCCGGCCTACGCTTGCGTGAGCACCGCAGCCGGCGCGTGTGTCGTGAATGCTTACCCTCAGAATCAAAGTAATGCACAAAGTCAAGGGCGAATTTTCGTGCGCGGTTCCGGAACTCCTCGCACCGCACAGGATCTTCGGTCTGTGCGAGCTTGGAGTAAACCAGCTGTGCGTACTGGATCGCAAAGGACGACGAATAGTAGTCGAGTTGAACTACGCCTTCGGGTCCGTCGCGGGACCAGCCCTCTCCGATATAGAAGGTATCAAGATGATCGAGATCCGCTTTCATGCGCTGCGCGTCGTACCTCGGCGAGCCTACTTTCGATAAGCCAAGGTTAGCAAAGACCTAAGCCGCGGTTAGGCTGTGTTCCGAGCAGGCGGTTAGAGCTACAGGGCTCACTCTGAACCAGAGCCAGTTCGTGTTGGGCATCTCCTTGTCGTTCATCCCGCCGAGCCAGGTCTCGAGGTGTCTCTTGCCGTCCGGGGGGAGCGGGTCCCACAGCTGCTCCTTCGCGACCGCGAGCGAGAACCCGATGGCGGAGCACTCCACCATCCGCTGGTCCTTGTCTCGCATGTCCCCCCAGAACTCCGCGTGGGCGGGGTCCGTCCCGCTGGCGAAGCCGTCCACCCACCTGTGTGTGCCCCCGTACGCGCCGCCGCCGGCGAGCAGGGACGCGAGCCCCCAGATCGGCCGCGAGAACCCCTCGAGGTGCGCCGCCGCCTCGTCGTAGTGCGTGCCCGTGAAGCCGAGGTGCACGCGAGCGCCCCCGGGCGAGGTGTGCGACGCGAGGGGGTCGAGGAGGCCGACGAGGAAGCGGGCGAGGTCCTCCTTCGTCTCGAGCGGGTTCGAGGCGAAGGGGGTCGTGTAGGCGAAGTCGGCCATGGGTGTGTGCTGGGGGCCATCGGAGGTGCGACTCACTTTTATATGGATGCTGGCGCAAGTCAGGAGGGTCGAGCGGCCGGACCGCTCGATGCGATAGCTGGCTTGGTCGAGGGCCAGTGCGGTCCGGAAATACGCCGAGGTCTCGGGGGGGTGTTTCGAGGTGACGTCGACATTATCGACGAGTCGCGGGCTGCTTTATCGAACGGATGTGAGCGTAGTTCTTGATCCCGCATCGACGCCAGTGGGAGAGGATCATTTGTGCTTAGATGCCAGTTTGTGAGTGTGCGGAGGAACGAGGGAGGAACACAAAGGCTGCGCAAGAGACGCCCGAGGATCCTGTGTCACTTGCACCGTGACAGTCGCGTGACAGATCGCGTTCGTGTCAAGTTCAGCGCGTCGACCGTGTCTGCTCCAACCCACTCGACCCTCAACGCCGTCTCGGCCTCACGCTGCACGCCTGGCATGTCCACCAAGGCACTAGTAAACTCCGCACACCAGCCTGGAAACACATGTATTGCTTTTTCTAGAGACGGCTCGTGAGTGCAGCCAGCGGCGTAGTCGCTTTCTTGTGATGCTATAATAACATCTTGGGTTCCAGACGCGTTTACACGGGTGGAACGGACGCTCTCGTGCGCATATGGCGCACGGAGCTCGGCGCCGACCAGGAGCCAGACGCTGCCCTCGAAGCCGTCGAGGGAATCACCTGTCTTGCGACTGGGGCAAGTCCTAGCACGAATACATGTCCGGTGGCGGCTCACTTACCCAAGTGCTTAGCGCGATTGCTGGTTCTCCGGAAGTGGTGACTCGGAAGTGCGGAGGTATGCGCACGGAAAGGCAGAGTTGGATGGCTTGGTCACCAGTGCGACGGGAGTGCCGATCCGGAGTGTCGCTGTGGACCCACAGGGAGGAAGGATTGCTGTCACATCGGAGTGCGTGTCATTTGTAGTTGCTCCCTGTACAGCTTGCTTACATTGTCCTTAGCGAGACGACAGTGAAGCTTATAGACCTGGAGGATACCACTAAGATCGTGGTGCTCCAAGGCCATTCGAAAGCGGTCCGGAAGGTGACATGGCATCCTTCCGGCTCACTCTTGGTGCGTTTTCCTCGCTCGATTTGAGGTCACTTCTCATGTTTTTAGACGACGAGCGGAGCTGATGGCAAGATTATCGTATGGGATGTCTCAGAAGGGGAGCCGAAGCAGGAGAAAGTTATAGAGGGTATCATACCTACGGTCGCTAACCCGGAGTGCGTTGCGGAAGTACTACGCTCTCTGTACGGATTATTGACATTCTAGCAGGTCCGAGGATTTTGCCCACGACTGCTCGGCAATGTGGCATACGTCAGGCCAGTACTTCTTCGCGGCAACGCGAGCACACGGTGAGCAGTAGCTGCACTATCACGTCTTTCCTTATCCAACATCATCCTTGTCAGAAATTGTGACGATATCCAGGAGCGAATGGTCAAAATCTTCCACGTTCTCCGACGACGCACTCTCGGGCGCCATCACCGCATTGACCATGTCGAAGAATGGTGTCTACATCGCCACCGCATGCAAGTCCGGGGTGTTCATCTGGTCTACCCAGAATCGTAGGCTCCTCTTCCGGTAAGTATATGAATTGCATTGGTCTTCGATGTCTCATTCTCTCACTGGTCCAAGGTTTCAAGGTGACCTCACCGCGACAATCACGCAAATGGCATTCTCGCCTTCTCAAAATCTCCTTGCGTGGACTGATGTGGAGGGCGTGTTGACCCGCTGGCCTGGTGCGATTCCTGCGTCTGCGCCAGATCCAGTCAAGGCGTCGATAGGATCTGGAACTGCAACCGTTCCTGTTAAGCGGAAAGCGACCTCCAGTCTGTTTGATGATGATGTAGATGCAGCCAAAGGGGATGGTGTCGATCTTGACGATGGTATGGCCGCAGAATTCGATAATGATGACTGGATATTGGACGACCTCGGTGGTGGGATGGAAGACGATACAGACGAGAAAAGATGGAGTGGAAAAGACGGAATAAGAGAGATGGGTACATTGACTTTTATGACTCGGGGAGGCTACAATGATACTAATCAGAGTAACATTTAGTCAGTGTGACCAAGGCTCAGCCGCCATTCCAGCCCGGTTCTACGCCCATGGAGAACAAGAAGCGATACCTAGGTACGTTCCATTTGTGCTCAGTCTGCACAAGTCCTCACCGCCGATTTGATAGCATACAACATGATTGGAGTGATTGAAGTCACCGATCAAGATACCCACCACATCGTCAATGTCGAATTTCACGACAAATCTGCACGAAAGGGATACCACTTCACCGACCACTCGAAGTATGACTTGGCGTCTCTCGGTGATTCCCCATATGTTCAGTTGCTCTCGCATATTCTGACGCCACACATTCATGATAGGTGAACGTGGTGCTGTCTATGCGTGTCAACCAGAAGGCGATCATTCAGCGCATATCATCTACAAGCCATACGGGACCTGGGCCTCTCAAACGGAGTGGAGCTACGATCTTCCGAAGGGCACAAAAGTCCTGGGTGTTGCGGCGGGCGGGGCACCGCCCACCAAGTCATTGCGCGAAAAATCGGACGCCGATCTGCAGGGCAACGGCAACGTTGTGATTGCGACGAGCGAGAATGAGCTCATATTTTTGACTGGTACTGGAATTGAGCGTCATTGCCTGAGTCTGCAGGGTGATTTCGTGACCATGGTCGCTGGCCCAGAATGGGTCTTTGTTGTCCATCGGGATGGCGCAACTACGATGGACGGTGGGTCCCCTTCGACCCCTTCACTCTGCAGTACGGCTGACCAATCACCAGGTTCACAGAACCTGACTAGTAGACTTATCAAGTTTGATGATTTCTGTTTACTCCAGAAGGACAGTCTTCCCGTCCCAAAGCGCCATACCCTGAAATGGCTTGGGATCACAGAGGAGGGCGTGCGTAACTTCTGTTTGCACTCACTCACGCACTCAACAAACGATTTGCAAACAGGCGCCAGCTATCTACGATTCTGCAGGCGTTCTCAACATCATGCCACGATTCAGACTCCCGTTTGCAGCAACCTGGACGCGGGCGCTGGATACTAATTCTCTGGAGAGACGGGAAGGCAAGCAGGAATCGTACTGGCCAGTCGGAGTTGCGGGTGAGACGTTCATGTGCTTGATTCTGAAGGTGAGTCGGAAAATAGGTTTGTATGCATTATATGCAGAGTCTATGTATAGGGAAGACAAGAATATCCTGGATTCCCAAAGCCTTTAATCCAAGAACTACCTCTGCGCTTGCCCTTCCACGGGGCAGATCCAAAAGAAGCACCTCTCGAAGAACAGTAGGCGTCGCTTTTGTATAGTCTCTTTACATTCTTTCTGCTGACAGCGAATTATCGCAGTCTTGCTCGTGAGACCATGTTGTTGGACATCCTCCGCGATGATCTCGGTGATGAATTGACAACCGACGACTTATCAAGAAGAGAAATCGCTCTCGACAAGGAGCTCATCCAGCTGATTCAGAATGCATGCAAGAATGACAAGCTCGCCCGCGCACTGGATTTGACGAAACTTCTGCATCATGTACCGTCCTTTGACATGGCGATCAAAGTTGCCGGATTCTACCATCTCATTGGGCTGCAAGAGAAAATGGAGGTGCTCAAAGACGTCAGAGAAGCATCGAGTCGCCTCCAGGATGCCCGCGACAAGAGGAGACAAAGGGCGAGAGACCTTGCGCCAATGGTGGTCATGCGACCAGTATATGGAGAACCTTCCAAGCCGAAAGCCTTCCAAGACTTCAGGCCACCGCCTGTGAATCACCGGCCTGGTTTGGAGCGGGCAACACCGGTTGTGGAAGCAAGAAATTCCGGCTCAAGTAGAGCTACACAGAGTAGCCAGCTGTCAGAAGATACCTCAACATTCGGATCGTCATATCTGGATGATTCTGTGGATGTCGATGACTCGATATCGTCCCCCGACGGGAAGAGGAAACGGGCAGAGGAGAGCGATGCTGGACGGGAATACCGGTCGCCTGGTGTAAACAATGTGTCTAAACGGCGCGCTCTCGGCGAGTCGGTTTCTACTGTCGCACCAGCTGCCCCACAACCAAGTGAGCCGTCAACTATACCGAAAATATCAACGTTGCTAACCGTTCCTAGGAGGGAATCCATTCGCACGCAAGCCAGGTGCTGACTCTGGTCGAAATCAGTTCATGAAGGGCGCGGACGCGAACAGGTCATTGCACAAGAGCGAGAGCTTCTTCACGAAAGTCGATGCTGCTGAAGCAGACAATACGACGCGTACGTCTACATTTTCCACGCACGGCATTGATCCCGACCTTGCATTTCAGGCCTTCCATCTAATAAGAGCAAAGGGAAAGAGAAGGCCATAGCTGGACGACAAACAACTTTGTTCGGCCTTCCTCCCGTCCCCCCTCCCGCTCCCGAAAAGAAAGCTCCTGGACGAAAAAAGAAGGGTGCTGCTGCTAGCGAGTCGGAGCAAGACACGCAGGAAAGTCTTGCTACCGGCTACGCGATCGAAGAAGCAGACAGTCAAGCGACTGACGTGACGATGGGGGAATCTCTGGACATCACAAAAACCGATGATATGCCATCACAAGTTTCCACTGAGCTTGCGGATGGCTCTGGTGTAGAAACGCCTTTTGATGTAGAGGTAATATACTGTTTGCATCTCCTACGATATGCTAACGAACTATTAACAATTCTAGGAGAATGGTAGTCCCGAGCCAATCGAATGGCCACCATCTCCCGCACGCGACGACGGGATGGTCGAAGAGTTGGCTGTGGGTTAGAACCATCACATGACTGTAGATATACATGCACTTCGGACATTCCATTTTTCTCTGGGTGATCGCGATGGCCTGTATCAAACAGTGAGCCGCGTGCGTACTCGCGTGCGTACCCGCGTTTCGTTCAAAAGCCTGAGCCGCGCAAGCACACCACCTCCAAGTGTCAGTGCACCACCTCATAAAACAACTCGCACAGCATTCTGCCTTGTAAACGCATCGCTAATCATTAGATCCTATTCAAACGTCATTTTTTCATGGATATATTGCATACGATGGCGGAGATAGGCTGACTTACCTCAGGTGCAAATGGCCAATTATCGAATGCACGAATGACTAGAGCCCAATCAGCCAAGGTCAAATGGCGCGGGGCTTTGCCAATGTCGACCCGTTGCGAGTCAGGGAGCGATGAATCGGTGAGCATTTTGAGCATAGTCTGGGCACCGGGTGCTAGCGAACTAGAACAAATACGTTACAGCCAGTAACCGGGTGTCAAAGAGGACGTGGACAACCTTATCGCCTTCTTCAGTGGGGTCGATTTAAGGACAAAGAGTCTGCGTAGACAGAAGTCCCATTTTTCAAGCATACCTTTTGTGATCAGCTTCCAGACGAACAATGCTTATCAACTCGAACATACGCGCTGGCGTATAACATAGCATACCTGATCATCGTGGGGAATTAAATTCATTGCGACGAGTGGATATCCTGGGCGTCGAGGTTGTGGTCGCTTCTCAGCCGTATATTTTGTTGTTATTGGATGAAAGTGATCATCATACGGTAGAAGCTTCGCTGGATCTAGTGACAGCGTGCATGTCGCGGTGGCCTCGGCAATAACAGACAATTTGCATCGGTTTGAATTTGGCGGAACGGCAGATATCCGCTGGTGCATCACAGCAGGAGGATGAGCAATTTGTCTTCAAGCAATGGAACTTTGAGCGGCACACCTCCCAAACCCAATCGCTTAGCACAAAGCTCATTGGTACTCTGCCGTATTTATAGAGCCATGTTCCATCGGGTATGCAGCGGAAGAGTTGGGCAATGAGCTGCTCCCCTTTGATCGTATGTTGGAGATGACTGATGAAGTGCAATTGAGGATGCACTAGTAGGGTTAACGAAGCTTAACGCCGACTCTCAGACAGTACTCACAACCACTGCTCCATGGGACAGTTTTGACATCGTCAAGCAGTCCTATTTCTTCTATGTGAGAATATGTATCCCAGTCGAACCCTGAGAGAGGTACAACTTTCACGCGAGAATCAGCAGCTTCGAGGGGCTTGAGAGTAAATCATGAGCGTCGAAATTATACGCTGCAGGACAATACACACCTTCAGATACTTGAGGTAATCAGGATGGTCTTCCAAAATAATTAACTTCTGTATATTGGATGCTGGCAGCTCGAGAAGCGCTCTGGAAAGAGCTCCAGGACCTGTGGAATGATGTGGGTTCTAAAGTCATCGGAATGGGGGATATAACTCACCTGGGAATGCCTCGATCACTATCTTTCCTTCTCCATTGGCTGAGCTTGCCCCGGAAAGGAAAGATTCTGCGATTAGTTGTGCCGTCTCAGGTGCCCGAAGAGATACCCTGTCTCTCGAAGATACAGTAGAAGAGCTGAAGATATCCTTCCATTCTGATGGTGGAGGCAATGGTGGAAGCCTACTCTGACTCGTGAATGTGCGTCGGCAGGACCAGCGTAGTGTACTCTTGAAATATCCCGATGGACGAAGGTTCAGCATTACGGACCGTGACGGTGAGTGCAGAACGACTAGCGCCTGACATTGACTTGCGACGCGCACGTGGTCAAAACGCGTGACTGACGCGCTCGTAACGCGTTCTATGTCACTCCTCAGAGCCACAACCTTGTCTCGAGTCTCGGACCCCTCCACGCCTGCAGCTGCCCCCAAGCCCCCGCGTTCACTGCTGCGTCGTGATCCGGATTGTTGCAGACATATCAAGATTCTTTTCCTTCGAATAATTGGCATTTTGGGCGCCCAGCCTGACCATTCGCTATGTACATCAAAACACTGACTGTCCAGGGGTTTAAGTCGTGTTCGTGAGCCTTTTCTTACTACTATTGGACGCGTTCTTAATTGTCACATTCTGTAGATCGTGATCAGACACAAATAGAACCGTTTTCGCCCAAACACAACGTCGTCGTAGGAAGAAATGGGTCTGGCAAGAGCAACTTCTTCGCAGGTGCGCTGAGTGCCCAATTGCTCTGAATCAGTAAATTTATGAAATGTTTTTAAATATACAGCTATCAGATTTGTCTTGTCGGATGCTTATACCTCCATGTCTCGAGAGGAGCGTCAATCTTTGCTTCATGAGGGTGTCTCCGTAACCACCACGCTGTCTGCATACGGTACGTCTATGTGATAAGCTATGTGGCATGAGGAATCCCTTTATAACTAATTTTATTCTATGGTGTCACAGTTGAAATCATCTTTGATAATTCTGACAATCGCTTCCCGACTGGTCGAGATGAAGTCTTCCTTCGACGCACCATTGGCCTTAAGAAAGATGAATATAGCTTGGACAAGAAGAGCGCTAGTAAAGCGGATGTCATGAACTTGCTTGAGAGCGCTGGTTTCAGTAAAAGCAATCCGTATTATATTGTACCTCAGGGACGGGTGAGCATCTCCGGTACCATGAGCACATGAGGCTCGAATGCGAAATGACACAGACTTTTGACTTCAATCTCCCACCTTTTTACATGAACTAGATCACTGCGCTTACAAATGCGAAGGACCACGAGCGATTGGCCTTATTAAAGGAAGTAGCTGGTACGAAAGTTTACGAGCAGCGGCGAGCCGAATCGCTGCGTATAATGTCCGAGACCGACGCTAAACGGACTAAAATCAATGAACTGCTGGACTACATCGAATCGCGATTGGAGGAACTTGAGGAAGAGAAGGAAGAGCTTAAGGAGTTTCAGGATAAGGACAAGGAGCGCCGATGTCTTGAGTATGCATTATATCAACGGGAATTGGAAGAAGTTGGAGAGGCACTAGAAGAGATCGAGGAAGAACGCAGAGGAGAAGTACACAGCACAAACGTTCGCAGGGAAGAATTCAAGGATCGAGAGATACGAGCACAGGTGTGTTCTTGTCGGGAAGTCCACGATGTTAAGGCTGTCAGCAAATAACTTGATTTTTACAGAATCTGGAACAGTCGATCTCTCGTATCAGGACCTCTTTAACAACCCTCACTCTGACGCGGCAGGGAAACCAGTCAGAAATGACTGACCTTGTCCGGGCTCGCACGGAGCTTGAGTGTACAATTGCTGATCTCCGTGTGGCCGTTGAGCGGGCCGGAGGGCGACGCGAAGAACTCGAAGGAGAACTGGCCGACGTGCAGGAACAAATCAGGGAGAAAGAGGCGACGCTCGCAGAGCTTTCTCCTCAATGGGAGGCACATCGAATAAATGAACTTGAGGAGAAGCATAGGTTGGATGAACTGCGCGCCCGACTTGATGCGCTCTATGCCAAACGGGGGCGCTTAAATCGGTTCAGAACCAGGTCAGAGCGTGATCAATTCCTGAGGCCCGAGATCGCTTCTATTCAAGCCTTTCGTACATCGCAAACTAACATCCTGAACAACCTGCAGACGGAGCTGCAGAACACCAGGGAGGCGCTGAGAGAGGTAGAAGAGAGGACAGAAAATGGCAGAACCAGTATGGAAGATGAGAGGCGGAGGGCGAGAACCCTGGCGGAGCAGATCGTTCAGTTGAAGGAAGAGTCTGCCGAGCTGACTGAGAAACGGAAGAATCTCTGGAGAGAAGACACGAAACTGAACAGCCTTGTGTCTCACGAAGCCGACGAGTTGAGATCTGCTGAAAGGAATTTGGCTAGCATGATGGACAAGGTGTGTGAGCGGACCCGCATCTCGTCGCTCGTACTAACTCTTTTGACAGGATACTGGAAGTGGTTTACGAGCGATAGACCGGATCGCAGAAAGGTTCAACATGGAAGGTGTCTATGGTCCTCTGTACCGCTTGTTCGAGATCACAGATGACAAGTTCAATATCGCGATTGAGCTGACCGCTGGGAACAGGTGCGTGCAGTCGATGCATACTTTGAGTCATCAAAGGCTTATCCTTTTGTCAGCCTGTTTCACGTTGTCGTTGACACAGATGCCACGGCATCGCAAGTCTTGGATATAATGATACGGGAGAAAACGGGACGAGTTACATTCATGCCACTCAACCGTCTGAAGCCGACAGTTCCCCCGAAGCCAAACGCACAGGATGCTATCCCCCTATTGGAGAAACTCAGATTCGATGGTGTTTATACAAAAGCCTTTGAACAAGTATTCGGCAAGACGTGTGTTTGCCGCGATTTGACGATTGCTGCGGCATACGTGAAGAGCCATGGTATCAACACTATAACCCTCGACGGCGACAAGGTCGATCGGAAGGGCGCCCTGACGGGTGGCTACCACGACGTGCGGCGCTCACGCATTGAAGCCATCAAAAACGTGACGAGCTGGTCTGCAAAGCACTCCGCGGATAGTCAACGCTTTGAGGAAGTCCGGGCAACTATTCTCCAGACAGAACAAGAAATCACCCGGGTTGCGGGAAAATTACAGGTCCTCAACAATCAACAAACTCACGCAAAGAGCGCGAGAGAGACATTGCACGAGGAGATCGCCGCACTCGGCCGGGAAAAGGAGAGGTTATTAGGGCGTATCGCCAAACTCGAAGGTGATATTGGAGATGTGGAGACGGAGGTCAGCGGTCTAAACGCGAGGCTGGAGGGACTTCAGGCGGAACTGGCAAGCCCACTTGCGCAAGGCCTCACAGCAGAGGAGGAGGAAACGATCGAGAACCTAGGAAGAGCCATTGAACAACATCAAAAGCAGCTCTTGGAGATAAACAAGGCCAAAAATGAGGTCTGTATCTTCAGAAGACGTTGAGCATGATCTCATGTCAGTTCTTTCGTTCTTAGCTTGGTGGTCGCAAGAGCGTCGTAGAAATCGAGCTGAACGAGAGCTTGCGACGACGTCAAGAAGAACTACGCGGAAAACTTGATGCGCTGGGTGTTGCAGAATCAGGCGACTCATCCTCCGACGAAGCTTTGGAGGCGCGCACTCGAGAGTTGCGTTCATTGAACAATGACATTACAGCCCTGACAAGGAGATCGCAAGGTAGGCTTGCGATCAATATACGAGGGTGATCGCTTACAAGTATTGTAGAGACCGAGAAGGAAGTTGAGAAGCTGAATACTCAACTCCAGGAGCAGCGCACCACTTTAGAAGGCCTGCAGAATCAGCAGACGGATGATAGTCGTGGGATTGCTAGACAACAGAAGAACACAGAGCGTTACCTTGCTAAAAGGCAGATGCTTCTCACCCGGAAAGACGAGTGTAATCGCAATATTCGCGATCTCGGAGTCCTTCCCGAAGAGGCATTTGAGAAGTATACAAGCGAGAAACTGGATAGGGCATGTTTGATGCTATTCTCGTGTGCAGAAAACTGATCTTGAGTTGACTATAGCTGGTCAAGAAACTGCATACCGTCAACGAGGGACTTAAAAAGTTCGCTCATGTCAACAAGAAGGCTTTCGAGCAGTACAACAACTTCACAAAGCAGCGTGATCAGCTACTGAAGCGTCGAGAGGACTTGGATAAATCGGCGCAGTCAATAGAGGAGCTGGTCGAGGTGCTCGATCAGCGCAAGGACGAAGCTATAGAGAGGACTTTCAAGCAGGTAGCACGAAATTTCGAAGAGGTTTTCGAGAAATTAGTGCCAGCTGGAAAAGGACGATTGATCATTCAGCGTCGAATTGATCAGGTATGTAGTCGTCGTTGCTATTTGTATTCACGGCCTTGAAGTCCTCACTGTAGGATGATGAAGACGCTGAGGAAGTCGATGATACTCAACAAAGCACCATTGACAATTACACCGGTGTCTCTATACGGGTTTGTGTGGTCGACGCCGACGAATTGTTCATCATGCTTACGTTATGTCGCAGGTGTCTTTCAACTCAAAAGTAGACGAGGGCCTGAGAATACAACAGCTTTCTGGGGGTCAGAAGTCTTTAGTTGCACTAGCAACAGGTGAGCCATCTCTAATGTCGCCATATTCAGCGTCTGAAGCAGACACCAGTTTTCGCGATCCAGAAGTGTGATCCCGCACCCTTCTACTTATTTGACGAGGTCTGTTCAGAATTCTTAACGCGTAAAGGCTCTGATCTGACCTGGGTACAGATTGATGCCAATCTGGATGCACAATATCGAACTGCCGTCGCCGGTACATTATTTCTCGCGTTCGTTATACCTATGCTAATGATGCTCTTATAGCCATGATACATGATCTTTCTGCTACTGCGCAATTCATCACGACGACATTCCGTCCAGAAATGTTGGTGACCGCTGACAAGTTCTATGGTGTGCTTTTCAACAACCAGAAGGTCAGTTCTATCCGTAGCATCAAGCGCGAGGAGGCAATGGAATTCGTTGATCAGGCAAGTATATTCTTCATGCTTGCAAAGTTCCTAACACTCATTGGGATATGCAGGAGGCACAGGCCCAGTGATGTATGTACTTGGGTCGCTGCAGGTGTCGTCAATGCTTTGTATTGTTCATTCTCGTAGTGTATACTTGTCCGTTTGTATTATCATCGCGCTCGATACCTTCACTCATATCCTTATTCTTGCTCCGCTCGTCTGTATTATATGAATTCGAACGTTGCTGACGTCCGCCTCTAATCATCACATATGCACGAACCTGCAAAAAATTTTATCTTTCACGTAGGCTTCTGAATTGAGCTCGTGCCAACTCGAATCCATCTAAAATCAAGCTTCTTTGGTGCGCAGGCGACTTATAAGGGCTTTGCCATGGGGCAAAGCGTGGGGAATGGCGAACCATAGTGTCTGAAAGGATGGCTGGAAAGAAGCTCAAAAATACAAAGGAACCATGAAGCAACCTGCTTATTGCTTCGTAATTTACGAGCCTGAGCGGCCGACGAGGCTCGTTACATTCTCGATATTGTATTATCGCTGTACCCACCTCCCTTCAATCTCCTTCGAAAATTCACGCCCATACTGTTGTGACTCTGGGTGCTGCTGTAGCATGTGTAATTGATACGTGGCCACGAACTTCTTGCAGAATGTCAAACATCACCCTTGGTTCAATGCAGTGACCATCGTTGGCTTGGTCTCTACTAGTACTCGTACTATTGCATGCAATGCGCTTGCTAAGCTAGGACGCAAGTTTTTTTTGATGATGGGGTACTGGATATTCTTGTCTGATTTTAGGTCTCAGCATTGCAGAGATAAATTTGGACTTCATTGCAAAGTGCATGCTGGAGGGATTTGGCATGCGCAAACGTTAAATACCTTGAGGACCACTCAGCTGTGTGGGGGCCTCTATGGTGAATACCCACTATACTGTCTGATCGCTTCTCTCACCGCGCTCAAACTCACTGAAGAGTTGCAACCTTCTCATTCGAGCAGAATCGCAGAGGCCTGTTGTCATTGTTGGTCACGAGTTGCCAGAGGATGTACCTGCTGCTTAGCAGCTGTAGAAAGAAATAAATAAAAAAAGGACATTCTGAGTATGACGACGAATTCGCCGGAACCTGTACATGTTCGAACTGCTGTCGTAGCGGAGTTTTAAAAGTCAGAACGGCTGGGTACCTCTTCTCCGACTCATTGTCGACCTGTCGGTCGGAATGCCTCCTCAATCTCTCTCTCCTCGACGCAAGCGGGTCCGACGGTATTTCTCTGCCTCAGCTGCAACTGGCGCACGTCTCAGTGGAAAGCTCGCTGCCATTTCTGCCGCAACCGTGCCCTCGGCGCGCACTCGTCGCAGGGGGTCGTCGGCATCCAGTGATAACTTCCACTTTTCCCCAGATTTTGTAAGCGATGTATCTGCTGTCGAGGACGAATATTCTCTGCGCTTCGCCGACCGTCCGTCGTCTCGTTCGCTTCCAGAATCGCGGCCGCCATTAGCTGCCGCGCAGGCACCGTTAGCGTATGCGTCTCTACCTCCTACTCCCATCTCCTCCTCACCACATTTACGTTCATCTCCGCCCTCATTCTCGCCTACAATATCCACGTTCCCCTCCTCGGACGTCTACTATGAGCCGCCTTTTTCAATTTGGGATTACCTGCGGGAGGAGCTCCTTGCCACAGACTTTGATTCTCATCAAGAGCTTAAATGGGAAAGGGTCAGCAACTTCCTCAACATGCCAATCGCTCTCGAGAAGGTAAGCAGCCCTGCCATTACCTAGATGTCCAATATCTCATACAATTTCGTAGGTGTTCTTCTTCGGATTCATTGTCTGCCTAGACTCATTCCTCTATACCTTCACAATCCTCCCCATTCGTTTTACGTTTGCCATCTGGCGTCTTCTGCTCAACACCTTAACCTTCTCTAAGAGCACTCCGCCTCTTCCGCCATCTCAGAAAGCGGACATTCTCCGTACTCTGCTGCTAGCTGTATCTGTCGTGATCCTTGCTCCGCTGACTGATGCAAGTAAGATCTACCACTCTATACGTGGTCAAGATACCATCAAACTGTATGTGATATTTAATGCACTTGAAGTACGCCTGGTTCACCTCGAGGTATCTCTTCTTCCGCCCACTCGTTGCTCATACTCTTCGCGCTTGTTGTGTGTCCTTTACAGATCGCAGACCGTCTATGCGCCTCGATTGGCCAAGACATCCTCGATTGTCTATTTTCACGCTCAACACTGGAGGTCATCTCTCATAGAAAACGGCCGACGTCATATATTCTGCGACCGGTAGTTTTCTTTGCACTCGCACTTATATACAATGGCAAGTCGGCTTACGTTTCTGTTACGAGGGCATAACATGTTAACGCACCGTATTGGACTGTCAGTGGCCCACACTCTGGTCATGATATATCAAATGATCTCGCTCAATGTTGCTGTAAACTCTTACGATCATGCATTGCTGACACTCCTCGTATCGAATCAATTTGTGGAGATCAAAGGTAGTGTGTTCAAGAAATTTGAGAAGGATAATCTGTTTCAGATTACTTGTGCTGGTGGGTCAGGGAAGCTTGCGCTACTACAGCGTTTGCTCATTTATTCGCAAATAGATATTGTGGAACGCTTTACACTTGCGCTGATGCTGAGCATCGTTGCATTCCGGAACTTGATTGAATTGAGCGGGTCGTCATTCAATTTCAGCGACGGCTTCGCGCTCCCAAAGAGTTTTGGATGGTTCAGAGGGAATAATGTCATATGGACGATTTCATATGTGTGTCTACCCGCTGTCAAATCCTCAGCTTATCTCATAGTTCCATTATAGCCCGTTCTTACCGTTATGGCATCCGAGATGTGCGTCGACTGGCTTAAGCATGCATTCATCACCAAGTTCAATCACATTCGTCCCTCTGTATACGAGCGATATACGGATGTGCTCTGCCGTGATCTTGCGAGTGCGAGTGCGGTAGGCCGGCGTGGCGCGCGGAAGGTGAGATTGTTTCAAGTTGCCCGCAGATCGCGCAGTTTCTGAGAATGCTCCTTGTAGCACACGTATGTTGATCAGTCGCCGCTCGTTGCCCGCCGTTTGGGTTTTGCGTCTCTTCCACTGGCAGTCCTGGCAGTCCTCATCGGATCACAGTCTATCAATTTGTTGATCTCCATGCACACGGATGGGAACATCCCGTGGATATGGACGAAAGCGCTCGAAGAGATAGAGCTGGATGAAGTGATCAATGTGGCCAAATGGACGGCATTGATCTTGTCCGTTTGGTTTTGGTGCGTCCCTTATATGTTGTCCGCGGAGGTTGATGGCTAACAGTGACCGGTTATAGTTGCGTAGTCGTCAAGATCATACTAGGCGTTCACCTCCTGAGCTATGCCACGAGGCGGAGAGCCGGCATGGAGGCTCGCGAGGCTGCAGATGTCGTTAATGACTTTGGACGAAACCCGATAGGCGAGGGCAAGGAGGAACAGGTGAGTATCTTGCCTACATTTATGGCTTTGCCCGTTCTAACGTGTGAGGGCAGTCATACAATCGTGAGCTCAAGTCGCTGCTGGACGACTCGCGGGATGACGCCGGACCTGTCCCGGATATCGGGGAGAGGAAACCGGGATCAGACGCTGGGCAGGGTGGCGGCAAGCGCAAGCGGCTGCCGTTAGAGGAGATCACTAGATTCACTATGGTCAAACGTATATGGTAAGATAGAACGGTATTGGCCGGGTTTTGTACGATATCACCGCGGCACTTGTGTCGAGTATCGATCGCTGCCAGAGCTGCCTGCAGCTCCTGAATGTCAAACTTCAAGTGTTGAACGATTACGTGCAGAACAGGTTCAAAGATGGTATAAGAATGTTCGTGTCCACGGAGGACAATTCGTGGAGCTCGCGCAGAGTCGGACGCACGGACAAGCCTGCGATCGAATGGCGCGCTTGACGAATCTGCGATCGCGATCGTCGCCAGAGTTGCATCGCAATAAAATAATAGATTGGTTCGTTTCCCATACATACAGATATTATACATACATGACACAGGGCAGGAACCGTGTTGAGGTGCACTATAGCTACATCGGGAGACTAAGGAGCGTGGGTACTACGAATACAACGCAGATGCGAGACAACGGCACGAATAATGCAGGTACATGATTCATCGACAGCGAAGGAGCGGAGGGGGCTCTTGTGGCGAGCGGGGATGATAACGAGCAGAGTGCGAAGGAGCGTGGACAGCTAGCGACAGCAGAGAAAGTGCGGGAGACGAGAAAGAGTGTGGGGATTACGAGCGGGATAATGCGAGGCAGGGGCATCTACAACACAAGCAAACGTTCTGGAAGTGAGCGGTCGGTACGATTTCACGAGGCGCGGAGTACGGGAGCGCGGCGCTCAGTACCGGGGACGGGCCGACGAGTCCTGGTAGCCCGCCCGCCTCTGCGCGACGAGGCGCGCCTGGTTGTCCTCCGCGCGGCGGCGGGTCTCGCACTCGGTCGCGGGCCACTCCCCGACGACCTCCGCCGCATGGGAGCAGATCGAGTCGCGGCGGGAGAACTCGACGTAATGCGCGCCGGCGGTCTTCTGGATGTTGAGCGACGCGGAGAGGTCGCGCGCGGACTGCGGCGGGAACGGGGCCACGTCGGGGGCGCTGGACGTCGCGGACACCGCGGACGGCGAGGGCGCGCGGGCGAACGGGGGCACCGGCGGGACCGCGGACATGTTGTCGAGAAGCCGGCGGACCTGCGCGAACTCCTCGTGGTTCGTCACGCTCGTCTTGATGGAGATGCCGGAGAAGAACGAGGCGCAGGAGCTCGGTGACTCGGGGACGTCCTTGTAGAGGTCCTTGCCGGGCGGCGGGGGCGCGAGCGAGGGCCGCTTGGACGAGAAGCCCGTGCGGCCGCTGGCGCTGACGGGGACGGGGGTCACGGGGCTCTCGTAGTGATAGTGCGTGTGGCTGGTCCCTGGAGCGCTAGCGAGAGGTGCATCGCGGAGGACGAGAGGGGATGCAGATTTCTTTAATGGGACGTCGGCGCCATGGCGTGGGGGCGAACTGGCGGCAGGCACTGGTGATTTGTTGACTGCCAAGGGAGGCACAGCGGAAGGTGACTTCCCGGTGGAGGACTGGGTGGCAGTTGCCGAGGGCTTGGTAGTTGCCACAGGAGCGGCCGTGGTGTACTTGTGTGCGGTTGAAGACGTCGCGGCAACAGAGGGCCTCGCTGTGGGGTCACTGGCCATCACAGCAACGGGAGCAGTAGGATACCTGTGAGCAGAAGAAGACGCCGCAGCAGCAGCAGAGGGCCTGCCTCCTGCCGCCGGCATTCTGGGAGCCGACGTGGGCTTGGAGGCCACGGGAGTGACCGTCGCTTTGTGCGCAGAGGCCCTCTCTGGCGTAGCGATTCTCTCCCGACGATGATCCCCATACCCACCAGACTTTGTCGACTCGTGGCCGCGCGAACTTGAGACCGACGTCGCCTTCGTCGAGGCCTCCGAGCGCTTCGAGCTGCTCGCGCTGTGGCGTGTGTCGATGCTTGAGGACTCGATGTCGCGCCCGGTTCTGGAAGACGCAGGGACGCCTGTGATCGTCGCTTTGACCGTCTCAGCCTCGCGGCGGGGCCTGGGTGGCGTCGTTGTGGACGGGGCGCCCGCCTCACGTCCGTGGCGTTCGTCTCTTCGAGCGGCCTTGCTTGCGTCTCGGTGCTCTCGGTGCTCTCGTTCGCGGGTCTGAGTGCTTGGGACGGGAAGGAATATCATGTCTCGTACTGCGGCGGCGGCGGCGGCGGCGGAGGGACCCGCATGATCCTGCGCGTACTGCTCGTGGCGAGAGGGCCTTGCGTGGTCCCTATGATGGGAGCCCGTCGCCGCCGCCCCGTGCCTACTTGGCGTCGCGCCGTGTGTGCGCTCCCGCTCGCGGCCGTATGAACTCGCGGTAGCACTCGACGCTTCGGTCCGGATTGTGGTCGTGCTCGGCTCGCCCCGCAACATCGGCCGCGACCCCTGCCGGGGCAGGCTTGCCTTCGAGTCGCTATTCCCGCGCGTAAGGGGAGGCTCTGTGTAGCGCGCATCCTGCGCACGGCGGGCCTGCTGTTGGGGCTGGAGCATGTTCCCTGCGGACGCGGCGCGGCGCACCTCCTGCCCGCGCTCGGGGGTCCGCACCACGTCGACAATGACGGCGG